TTCTAAGGACTTCATCTAAGTGGGGTCATGCCACGTTTGTCTTCTGTGACTGGCTTGCCGCTTAGCATAATGTCCCTAGGGGTTATCCATGCTGTGGCAGGTGTCATATCTGTTCTCTCTTTAAAAACTTGTTTTGAGGGACGCCTGGGTGGCTCAGTTGGTTAAGCAGCTGCCTTCGGCTCAGGTTATGATCCCAGCGTCCTGAGATCGAGTCCCACATCGGGCTCCTTGCTTGGCGGGGAGCCTGCTTCTCCCTCTGCCTCTGCCTGCCATTCTGTCTGCCTGTGCTCGCTCTCTCTCCCTCTCTCTCTGACAAATAAATAAAATTTAAAAAAAAAAAACTTGTTTTGAGGGGTGCCTGGATGGCTCAGTGGGTTAAGCTGCTGCCTTTGGCTCAGGTCATGATCCCAGGGTCCTGGAATCAAGTCCCACATCATGCTCCTTGCTCGGCGGGGAGCCTGCTTCTCTTTCTGCCTCTCCCTGCCACTCTGCCTGCTTGTGCGCGTGCTCTCTCTCTCTCTCTCTCTCTCTCTGACAAATAAATAAATTAAATAAATAAATAAATAAAATCTTTTTTTAAAAATTCGTTTTGCAGAGCCTCTAGGTGACTCAGTCATTTAAGCCTCTGACTCTAGGTTTCAGCTCAGGTCATGATCTCGAGGTGGTAAGATTGAGCCTCGAATCAGGGCCCCATGATCAGTGAGGAGTCTGCTTCAGGGTCTCTCTCTCCCTCCCCAGATTGTGCGTGCGCTTGCTCTCTCTCTCTCTCCCTCTCTCTCTCTCTCAAACAAAAAAATAAATATTTTTTAAAAATTCGTTTTGATGAAGCCTTGCCATTTGCAACAACATGGATGGAATGAGAGGGTATTATGCTAAGTAAAATCAGTCCATCAGAGAAAGACAATTATTATTGATCTCACTGATATGAGGAATTTGAGAAACCGGACAGAGGATCACAGGGGCAGGGAGGGGAAAATGAAACAAGATGAAACCGGAGAGGAAGATAAACCATAAGAGACTCTTAATCTCAGGAAACAAACCGAGGGTTGCTGGAGGGGAGGCGGGCGGGAGGGATGGGCTGGCTGAGTGATGGACGCAGGGGAGGGTAGGTGCTATGGTGAGTGCTGTGAATTATGTAAGACTGATGATTCACAGACCTGTACCCCTGAAACAAATAATACATTATATGTTGATTTTTTAAAAATTTGTTTTGAGGGGCCCCTAGGTGGCTCAGTCGGTTAAGTATCCCCTTCTTCATTTTGGCTCCAGTGTTCATCTCCGGGTCGTGAGTTTGAGCCCTGTGTCAGGCTCCACGCTGGGTGAGGAGCCTACTTTAAAAAAAAAAAAAAAAAAGTGTTTCGAATCAATAGCATATTTACACAATTCCAAATTGCAAGGGCACCAAAGTGTTGAAAGTGAAAAGCTTCCTTTCTCTGTCTCCCTCCCATGTGGTTCTTCCTTCTGGAAGCAGCCAGTACCATCAGTTTCAGAGAGCTTTTATGCATACGCAAGCAGTTACCTTCATGGATTCCTTTTTGCTCTTTTTCATTCTGGTATTTTTTTACTCTGCTCTGGCTTGTGGTTGTTTCTCTCCCCTCCGCAGTCTGCAGGGAGTCTTTCCACTGTTCGTTCAGAGGCTCTCCCTCTCCTGATCTGTCTGTTGCATTGTCTGGACACACAGCGGCTTGCTCAGCAAGTTCTCGTGGCTGGATAGTTTGGAATTTGTGGTCTGAGTCATGTTTAGGCACCTCTGAGCCTCATCGTGGCCTCCAGAGACCACAGGACGAGCGGGGCTCCTGTACTGCTTCACGCCATGGCTCCCTGTTTAGCGACCATGACATGAGAGAGTCAAGTGAGCAACCACACAGTTAAAACACTCTATGGGGAGCCTGTAGCAGAGGGGTATAGAAATGAGAGATCAGCCACGGGAACGGCAGGTTGAGAAGGCTCCACTCTCTCCCCATCCCCAACCCTCTTCTACCTGGCATCTTCTCTTGATCAGGAAATAGCACCCCTGCACCCATATGCTGCAGCCAGAAACCCGCCCGGCTCATCGTCTCACCTCCCTCTGCCTCACCCGCCCTGTTCTAGCCAGCACGGAGCCTGTCCCGGTGTCTCTCAGACCCTCACCCCACTGCCTTCAGTAGCTCCAAAGCCCACGGTCCCTTCTGCCAAGCTGCTCTGCCACCCCCTCCCGCAGAGTAGTCTGGCAGCCCATCAAAAGGGAAATCAGACCCCATCTCCCCAGATTAAAACCTTCCAGACTGTGCACCCCTGTCCACAGCAGCATTATTCGCAATAGCTAGAAGGCGGACACAACCCAACTGCCCGACAAATGGATAAGCAAAATGTGGTCTGCACATACGATGGAACATTATTTGGCCTTAAAAGTAAAAGAAATTCTGCAACACACCCCATGGATGAAGCTTGAGGACACCACGCTAAGTGAAACGAGCCAGTCGGAAAGACAAAGACTATAGGATTGCACATAGAGGAGGCACTTAGTGATCAAAATCCTAGAGCCAGACGGTAGAACGGGGACTACCAGGGACTGGAGATGGAGGGGAGTTCGTGTCTAATGGAGACAGTTTCAGTTTTATAAGATGAAAAGAGCCACAGGGAGGGGTGGTGGGGACAGCTGCACAACGTGAATGGATTTAACACACTCAGTGGTCCAAGTGAAAGTGGTAAAGATGGGAGACTTTGTGTTACGTGTATTTTAACACATTTTTTTAAAGCATTAGAAAAAAGAAACCCCTTCCAGGGCTTCCCAGGACTGAGAGCATAGAGACCTTACTTAGCAGGAGGCTGTGCGAGATCTGGGTCCCCGCTTCCTTCCCACTGCAGGCACCATGGGCCCCCTGTGCCCCCTGGGCACACCCTGGTTCTTCCAATTGGAGGGTCTGGGTGCTGGGCATCCCTTCACCCAGACGCCATGCTGGGGGTCTTGGTAGGAAGTCACCTGCTCAGAGCAACTGCCCACTGATTCCCCCACCTACTTTCTACCCCATGTCCAGCTTCGTGCCCCCCAGCACCTAGGACCCCTTCAGTTAGGTCCCTGGCTTCATGGTCTGCTTGCCACTCTCAGCCCCCAACACAAAGCTCCTCCACGTTGGGAACCTGGGCCTGCTTCATCCATCATGGCCAGCTGCCATGGGTCGATGCTGTCAAGGAAGCCGATGCTGAGATGGAGTCTGGAGGGCAAGACTGCCATTACAGGTAGTAACTGTGTGGGGAAGGGGCCTTAGCAGGCTTGGGCAGAGGGAAAGGCAGCTGGCAATGCTGGTCTGGTGAAATCTCAGCCGGCCGAGCCAGAGTTTCAGGAGTTGGCGTCGCCCCCTGGAGTGGTTCCGGGCAGGGCAGAAGCACAGTCCCTGCTTGGTTGCCAGAGGGGAGCAGCCCCAGGAAGGGCGAAACCTTGAGCCAGGCAGCGTTCTGCGCCCCGAGCAGACCCCAAAGTGATGGGCATCTAGTGGCTCTCTGCTGACCATGCTCCTCACTACCAGGTGACAAGCTCTACTGGAGGGGCTCCAGCCAATGCTTCTCCATATTTACCCCAACCCCTAGTAGGTGCTCAGAATGAATGAAGGAGTGAATGAATGAATGAACGAATAAATGTTTGCTTGGGCCTTGAAGTACAAACAGGATTTGAAGGAGACAAGGCAGGAGACATGTATTCCGGGCATGAGGCATCCTTTGTGCAAAGGTAGAAAGGCATGAAGAAACACATGGGATGTTCCTGAATCCACAAACACAAAGATAGGGTTAAATCACTATGCGGGGAAGTCAGGGAACAAGGCTCAAATGATAAGCAAAGGCCAGTGGACAAGGACCTTGTAGGTCACACTTGAATTTTACCCTGTCGGGAAAAGGATGCTTTCGAAGGGTTCGAAGAAAGAGAATTGACATGATCAGCTGGGTTTAGAAAGATCGTTCTGCTGGCCTTCCTGAGGACGGCCAAGGAGGGCAAGAGAAGGACGGGAGGCCATCCAGGAGTTGGCTTTGAGCAGGCGGCCTGTGTCCTGAGGCACAGATACTAGGGGAGGACAGGAGAAGCCGTAGCTGTGCTGTGGGGGCTGAGAAGGGGCTACAGCCGAAGCCTGGAACAGCCAGGGAGGCACAGTCAGTGAAGAGTAAACATCTGAAGAACAAGGATGGTCGGTTGGCAAGGAAATCAGGAAAGAATGCGACCATGGGAGCACAGGAGAAAGAACAGTTTAAGAAGGAAAAAGTCAAGAGGGTCAAGGCCGTTAAGAGGTCAAGCGAGATAAGGCCTGAAGTGCCCATGGATTTGGCTTCCAGGAGGGCAGGACTCCAGAGCAGCTTCGGGTGGGAGCAGACCCAGCCCAGGCCAGTGCATTTTCCAGTCTGATCTGAGGCTTGGGTTTCTCATGGGCTTTCTGGAGAAAGCCTTTATCTGTCAACATGCCTCAGTCCAGGGTCTCCCTTAAGTCTTGCCACGGAGATGCTCTGGTCCAAGCGGACTCCGGCCGCCATCTTTGGAAAGGCGATGGGAGGAGCCCAATGGAGCATCAGGAGTCCCAAGCCCTCATCCTGTGTCGCCATGTGTGAGGGGCCTTAGGCCTCGGTTTCTCCTGGGGGTCTCCTGGAGAACTCTGCAGTTGCCTCTGTTGATCTGGACTGTCCCAGCGCTCAGGTTCAATGAGAGGGTAGCCAGGTCCCCACACCCTCTAACTTGAGTCCCTTTGTGGCCACCACATAGGACTCTGGGTTTCCCCATCCAAGTGCCCCATTGTGTGAACTCAGTTCCAATGAGGAAAGAAACCGGGTTGCGAAAAGAGAATATTTACTTTTCCCACCAAGCTGATACCCAGGTAAATAGTGTGGTCCCATCAGTGGAGCCCAGCCCTGCCCTCTTCCCTCCCTCCAGGTACAGCCTGGAGCATTTAAGAAGACACCCCAATGGGCATGTCTCACACAAGACCCCAACCCCGATCCAGAGACAGGCCAGCGCCTCACTCGCCAGCCTCCTGCCCAACATGAAGCTCGCTGTCATCCTCACCCTGGCCTCCCTTGCTCTCTGCTGCAGCCTTGGTGAGTTCCCAGAGCCCTTCTCCCCCAAGCCAGGCTCAGGAACACTTCCTGCTCCCCAGTTCTGCTTAGAACAGGGGCCAGCTATTTAGCTGGAATGCAGATTCCCTGGCAGGGAAGCCGGGTCTGTGAACAGACCCATCTTGGGAACTTGGGGAGCACCCTGAGCCTGCGAGGAAACCTAGAAGGGGTCCGATCTTCCATGGCCAACCACCTCAGAATTGCAGCTTTGGAATAGACTGGAGGCAGGGAAGGAAGAGATCGCATAATGGATGTGTGTTCAATGACCAACAGAATAGGAACAATGAGCTCCTCAGAGCCCAGTCTTGGAGAGACCCCAAGATGCCAAGAGACCTTGGTACAGTGCCGCCTTCAGGTTTGGGGTCTCCACACCACTCTGGCAACCAAGGGGGCTAGAAGGAGCTGCAGAGCATCATGCCTCCAAAAGAAATCCAAGCTAAGGCAAGGTCTCCCATTCTGAATGGAGAGGAATATTCTAGAAAGGGATCTTCCCTTTGGGAGACTGCCAACCCAGAGTGGGGTTTTCTAAACATTTTTGTCCTCTGCCAAAAGGATTAGGAGTCTCTGAATAGTTGCAGCTGTCACTAAAAGGAAAGGAATGAGGGGTGGGGGGAGAGGAAGGGAGAGAAGAAGGGAAGGAGGGAGGGAAGGAAGGAGGGAAGGAGGGAGGAGGATCCCACCTCTCTCCAAGCCCCCTGTTCTTTTGGGAATTGAGTTACGTGGTTTTTACTCTGTATCCGCTTCTTCTACTTTTAGTAAGCAAACAAAAAGTTTTTTAGCAAACTTCAATTAGTTCACTTTGAAAGTTTCATGACACCCATGGCGATAAGTCTATGACCCTGGGGAGTGGCAGGGAAGTTGGAAAACCAAAACCAAGAGGCAATGGGGACAGCTATTATGTAGAGATATTTGTTTTTAAGGAGAAATAACATCATTTTGGACCGACATCTACAGTTGACATACAATGAACAGCGCATGGCTTGGGAGTGCTGACTGCCCCCCACACAGTCAAAAATCTGCCTGTAACTTTTGACTTTTAACTGCTCACAGCCTGCTGTTGACCAGAAGCGCTACCGATAACATGAACCACAAATGAACACACATTTTGTACATCGTGTGTATTATATACTGTGTTCTGACAATCATACCCAACTTTTTCTGAATTCTTTCATTTTTTCTAGGCTACTCAGTTCATCCGTGAGTCTTTTCAAATCGTCACAAATCTCAAAAAAAAAAAAATCCAATACATTTATTGAAAAAAATGTAAGGAGCCTCACGCAGTTCAGTCCACAGTTCAGTCCGTAGTTCAGTCTGTGTTGTTCAAAGGTCAACTGTATGTTAATTACACCTCAGCGCTGTCAACAGAGGGTGGCTCAGCAAGACAGAGCTGAAATATGGGAAGGGGTGCACCTGGGATGCCTCTGTATATTTGTGCATGCACACATGTCATAATAAGAATAGTAATATCCCCCATTTATTCGGCACTATGTGCCAGTCGCTGTTCTGAACCCCTTTACATCCCTACAATAACCCTATCAAATAGGGATCTTATTCCCATTTTACAGATGAGAAATGGAACTGCACAAAGAGAAAGTAACTTGCCAGATGACATAGTAAAACAGGGCTCTACGTTCTGCAGGGGGTTTGACTTGGGGTGGCCACTTTGGGAGTCCCTGGAGTCCAGACAGGGAAGCGGAACTTGCACACAAGGCAAAGAATTCAAGGACGGGGACCGACACTCAGGGTGTGGAAACCAGTGGCTCTCCCCCATGTTCCTGGGGCAGGGGCCTGAAGGGGGGCACAGTCTGGGGAGTACTGCGGGTGAAGGGAACATAGTGGGGCCGGGCATGGACACAAGGGGCATGTGGGCAGCTGAGTCCACCACAGAGGCCCAGAGCTCATGGTGCACACCTCTTCCCGGTCCAGCTCAGGGGCTTGCACTTGGCCCGGACAAGTCCTTCTTCCCAACAGAGCCTGAATCTGCCACATACCCGTCTCCCGCCCCAGGGCAAGTGGCCCAGACCACCACTAACCATTGGTAAGAGGTATGTTTCTGGCGGGACAACAACCAGAAACCCTCGGTAGCCTCTTCCCAAACCCCCACTGTTGCATAAAAGATCAGATCAGCAACAACTTTTATCAGTCCCCTGCTTGGAACTCTTAACAGAAAGAACAAATAGCAAATGGCCCTGCCCCAACCCAGGAAGTGCAAGGAGGGCTCGGGCAGGCCAGGAAAAGTTGGCTGCAACCCCGGGAAGTCTTCCCACAGTTGGCCAAAGAACCAACTGCTTGGAGCACCACCAGATCTCACGTTCAACGCCATCCCATCCACCAAAAGGCAGCTATCTCTCGCTGACAGGCCTGCCCGCTTTCCTCTGGGACAGGCCCAGTCCGGGGGCCGGCCAGCTTGGAAAAGGGCCCGGACATGTGTCCTCTCTCTTTCCTGTGCTTCAGCTTCAGCAGAGATCTGCCCAGGCTTCCTGAATGTCATCAAAACCCTCTTCGTGGGCACGCTTTCCAGTTACGAGGCTGCGCTTGAGTTTTTCGTCCCAGACGCAGACATGAAAGATGGGATGATCCAGCTGAGGAATCTGGTGGACACCCTCCCCTCAAACACCACAGAGAACATCCTCAAGTTCACGGTAACAAGCTCCTTTCCCCCTGTGCCTCTTAGCAGCGGATCCCCCCAGTCCCTAGGCTACAGCCTCGCCCCATTTTTTTGGAGCCGTTTCTAATCCAGAAAGGAAAATCCCAGTGCAAATAGTCCTTCCGGAAGCAGACTCGGTCCTCTTACCCTTTTTAAGAGGTTTCTGAGACATAATCAAAACTCTTACAAGCTTAGTTCTTTCTCAAGCTACTGACCCTCTTAATGGACATTGAGGTCTCTACATGCAGACATCTTGGTCTAACTTTGAGTTTCGCTCACTATTGTCTTGTTTTTTTTGTTTGTTTGTTTGTTTGTTTTGTTTTGTTTTGTTTTGTCTGTTTTAGGGCAAAGTCTTAAAAAGCCCAGCGTGTGCTTAGGAATTAGAAGCAGAAGATCTCCAACTGCTGGAGCTCCTGCGGCTCCCCGGACATTTCCTTCACTCTGTCCCCAGCCTGGCTCCCTTTAATAAATTTTAAGCATCTCATTTTTGTGCCCTGCACCCATGCCTCTTTTTTGCTCACCTGCTAGAGTGAGGAGGTCGGCCACTGCGAGGGTAAGGTCAGCAGGTGCAAAGAGAAATGCAGTGGCCGTGCAAACACGTCTCCAAGGGACCCAGGGGTCTCACTTCCAGAGCCCCAACACACACCAGTCTAGCCACACGTGGCAAGACATACACTCCTTCTCCTGGGCAGAAAGCCACCCAGGGACCTGCTCAAACATAACCTATAGGGTAACAAAATGGGGTCCGTATAGGGTGGCGGCTGACCTCAGACAGACTCCTCAACCTCCGGCCATTTAGTGATGAAAATTAACTATTCTGTAAATATTTAAGCTGATTATGCTACCCAGACACACCTGCAAGCAAAGATGGAGCCTTCCAAAGAGTCCCATCTCCCAATGATCTATGGAAAAGTCCGTTTCTAGCATGTGGACAGAGCAGTTGGGATCCCTTAAGGGCTGGTGGCTCGGCCTCAGAACGTCTCACGTCACACACAGCGCACAATCACTCCCAGAAGGAATCAGATTCCTGTAAGACACTTCAGCAACAAAGGCTTCAGGGGGAATAGGTTCAATCCCTTGATTAGGGATCCAGGGGGTATGGGATGCCATTGAGGGTGACGGACCCTGGCTCCTCAGGGCCAGCAGGGCAGTTTACATGGCGTCACCAGAGATGGTAGGTTAAGTATTTTGTTTACTTCATATATGCTACATGAAATTATTTAACAAACTATTTTTTAAAGGGGGTGGAGAATAGGGAAAAAAACCCTCTTATGCATTTTCTAGATCATTTATCTGTCCCCATAGTTGGGACATTATATTTCCAGGTTGGTTGGTTTGGTTTAAGTAGCCTCCATAACCTGTGTGGAGCCCAACGCGGGGATTGAACTCATAACCCTGAGATCAAGACCTGCACTGAGATCAAGAGTAGGACGCTTCACCGACCTTGCCACCCAGGCGCCCCTCTATTTCCAGGTTTAAATCACAAAAGCCTACAAGTCAAACCATCCATTCATATCAGTCTTCCTTTAAGGATGTCTCTGCCCAGAAGAGGATCCAGAGGTGGGGAGCAGTGTCACAGACGCAGGGCTGGTCGGCACTGGGTTACTGCTGTCCACCGTCCATGGAGTGATGCTCTCGTGCCCTGACTTGCACCCATGACCCATTCCCTAAGTCCCTGTTCAGCCAACTTTCCTGCAGAAAGAATCCGTCTTCTGTGGCAAAGAAGTCTTCAGGCATGAAATCAATCCCTAGATGTTTACTGGCACTTTCGATGTGCGCATAGTGACGCTGGGCATTCTGAGGACCCAGGAGCAGATTTCATAACCAAGCAAGTATGTGTAAAGCACTTGCTCTGGGCCAGGAGCGCACGGAGGCCCGAGTATGGCAGTGTGAATGAATGGGGGCTCCGGTTCTCCGAGGGCTGTAATCCCACGGAAAAGCTCCCTCGCTCTGGCAAAAAAAAATAAGTCGGCAGACAGGTACATGAAACAGCAACAAACACCCTAAAAGAAATCCATGGAGTGATGCGACCCGGAGTAGCTTGGAAAGGCCGACTGTAGCTCGGGAGGCCCCCTTCTTAGGATTTGAGAGGAGACTTAAAGGGAGGACAGGAGCCAGCCACCAGGGGAGGAGGACAGAGTGTTCCAGGCAGAGGATAAAGCAAGGAGTGAGGAGGATGCCTGGGACACCCCACTCCCTTCTCGAAGCCCCACTGAACCCAGCCCTGGACCCCAGGAGAAAATTCAGAACCTGTCTAAAGAAACTCTCCTCTAGGTTCTGTTACCTATCCCCAAAAGAGCCCAGACCTCCTCCCCAGACCATCTACCCCCACCTCTCAAACAGCACTTGTCCCACCAAACTCATGCTCCACCCCTCACCCCAGGCTGTGTCTAATCTCAGTCAATTCTACATCCAGCCTCCCAGCTGCTCCAGCCAGAAGGACAGGTGTCCTTCACCCTGCCCTGGGCCATGCCCATTGCATCCAGCCAAGCAGGTCAGCCTCCAGAGCCGTCTGGGAACTCCCTCCATGTCCATAGGCCACACCAGCCACCTGTCACTTCACAACCCAGGGGCCTCCTAGCTCACACTCGGTGCCCCTGAAGTCCATTCTCTTCCCAACTAACAAAGTTATTTTAATCACATGAAAACCCCCTTCCACCCCCTCTCCTCCGCGGAGTAAAACCTTCGAAGCTTTTCGAGGGCTCTTAAAAAACTTAAATGCAGAACCTGCCCATCACTGGCTCTCACCTCCCACCCTCCATCCTGCGGCTTACTCCTCTGCTGAAGCCACCACCCACCCGCCCTCCCTCCCTGCCTTCAGGTCCCTGCTTTTCTAAGAGCAAAGCCCCTTCCCACCTCAGGGCCTTTGTACTAGCCCCAAGCACCAACAGCTCGGAAGTACTGTTGATTGGTTTACAAAATGGCCCTAGAACAAAATGTGCAAAGTATAGAACTTGTTATAAAGGTTGTGTCCCGTGTGGATATAAACCCCCCCCCCAAAAAACACCCCCTCCCCATTCCGTGGCAAGCGGTCCCGACCCGGCCACACCATCCGCGGACACTGAATGAAAGTGGAGGACGTGCAGAGGGGAGGCGGGCACGGAAAGGGCACCGGTGTAGCACGGGGAGGGAGGGGGCGGAGGAGAGAGAGAGAGCCCTTCAGTCGGAATTTCCCAGCCAGCACCGCGGGCGGGCGGGGACGCGCCTTCCCCGCCCTTAGCGCCCCGGGGCTGCCGCGGCCTCTAGGGGGCGGTGTCGGCCAAGGTGTCGGGGAGCGGAGTGGGGCGGGAGTGGGGCGGGGGTGGGGCGCGGTACTTGGGCCTTGGGGCTCCCACACCCTGCACACCGCAGCCCTGGACAGATGATGAAACACAGCGCCTTCCTCGGACCCTTTTATCGTGTATATGATAGCTTTAATTTGATTTCTGAAATTTTTTTTAAATCAGAATTCTGAGAAATCACAGGGACAGTCCCACAAACAAAGCTGCCGCCGGCCCAGGGGTGCCAGCAATGTGTCAGCCCTTTGGGAATTAGTATTAATTCCATTCCCAGACAAGTCCGAGGGCGAGTCCAGCAGAATCTACAACGCGAGAGGGCCAAGGGTGGGCGTCTGGAGCTGACCTCCGACCTCATTCTGCCCCATTTTTCAAGTCTGGCTGCAGAAAGCACAACCTAGTCATTATCTTTCTAGACGGCTTACTTGCTGGGGGGCATTCTTGCCATTTCTGATGTAGTCTTCACACAACCCAGATTCCAGAGCCCAGGCCCCCACCCCTGCGCTGCGGAGAAGGAGATTTCAGATGCAGGAATCTGCCAAACCAATGAAGAAGATTGATGAGCACGTCCTCCGGCCCCCAAACACGTCCACACACATCCTAAGGCCACCAGGCCCCACCCTTCACCTTGTGAGACAATGCTGAGGTACTGTGGGACAAAGGAGGGACTCCAGTGGTAAAAATTCCAGAGCAGGTCATCAAGATTGGCCGTTCCAAAAGAGATTCCTGGCAGAAAGTGGGAGCCTGGTGGGGGACCTCCTGACTCTCCCACCTCCTACACTCACTCCCTCACGGCTGGGACCCTGGGTTCTTCGGCATCCAGGCCATCATCGGCTCACATACCTTCGCCTCCCTTGAGCCATCCACCTAGGTGAGTATCGTCCAAACGGATAAGGCTCCAGGGCCATAAAAGTTCAGAATTTTAATTACCTATTCTCCGGGGAAGTGTTTACCTAGGGCAGATACGACACAGGTACCTTGAGATGAAAGGAAACACAATTACACTGCAGCGAGTGTCCGCCTCAAGGGGCCTCGAGACGTAGGTGGTCCACAAGGATAGGAGAAGTCAACACAGAAACGTGTGTTCGATTTTAAGAGGGCAGAGTGCAAGATGAACTGGCCCCCGCCACAGAAAGAGCACGAATCTGTGTGGTACACGTTGCCAGAAAGCAGAAGGAAGTGGGAGAACTGAAGGAATGTTCATTGGGTTCTTTTCTGTCTGCATGTGCTTATGCATAAGTTGGAGCTCAGGTCTGCACACTCTGGCCAGCCTCCCACATTCAAGCCATGGCCTGTTTTGGAAGATCTTATTTATGTATGTATTTATTTGACAGAAAGAGAGAGGTAAGAGCACAGAGGGCGAGGGAGAAGCAGGATTCCTGCTGAGCAGGGAGCCCTATGTGGGGCTCGATCCCAGGACCCTGGGATCATGACCTGAGTCGAAGGCAGACGCTTCACCGACTGAGCCACCCAGGCACCCCATCTATGGTCTGTTTTTGAATGGACCTCAAGCTAAGAACGATTTCTACATTTGAAGAAGGAAGAGGAGAGGTAGAGGGAAAGTTTGTCCACCCCTGTATGATATAAAAAAATAATTATAGAATCAGCCATTTTCACTATAAATATGCCAAACACTAAATCACAGGGAGGCCCGTGAATGACTGTAAGCCTCCTGCATTTGAGAAGCATTACACACAAAGCCTCTAAAGAAAAAACTTACGATGCATCCCAACAAAGCAAAAACACAAAAAATAAATAACCCAAGAAACTGTATTTTTAGCACTGTGTTCCTTTTGGCCTTCATACCTTTAAGGATCCCAGAGGAAAGACCACATTCCTCGACCACACTATTCACTACAGTGTGAATGTGGGTGAAAGTGGTCTCTGAAAATAGTCTGTCCCCCCCACCATCTGCCAACAAGGGAACATTTACTCTAGAAGGAACAAAGGCTGGGAG